GTTCGTTCAAGAGGGGCAGGTTCAGGCAGAAGCTCTAAAGCCACTCATGAGATCCCAGCTGATAGAAAAAGAAAGAAAGTGGCTATTTCCTCCCCAACCCCGTCAGCATCACCCTCTGAGGATGAGGAAACACCACCCTCACCTCAGCCATCACCTCCACCCACCAGAAATTTCACTTTTCTTCCAAGCCGATTTCGTTCCAAACACAAGCAACAGAGATTTTTGGATTTGGAAAGCCGCCAAATTATAGCTGAAAGTCCAGTGGTTGAAATGCTTCCCCTATTAGATTTCTCGCATGAATATGCAAGGAGGAACTGGACCAAACTTGGTGAGCCAGAAGAAAAATACAATGAAAGCATCATTCGGGAGTTCTTTGCTAATGCCTTTCCTATCCGACCTGATTGCAAGGATAGAGTCTCATGGGTGAGAGGTAAAATCATTCCTTATGATCCAGTGGCCATTAACACCTACTTGGAGACTGAGTATACCATCCCAGAACAAGATGATTATAGGAAGCTCATGAGGACCGCTATGGATGAGGAAATGTCCACTTTGATGCTTGAGACTCTGAGCCTTCCAGGAAGTCAATACCAAACAGGCACCAAGAGCCAGCCCACACACATTCTTCGAGCCGATCTGAAATCACTTGTGCGTTTGTGGCAAGCCTTCCTCTATAGCAATGTCGTCCCACTCACACACACCTCTGACATAACCATCTCCAAGGCAAAGCTGATTTTTTGTATATTGCTGCAGAAGGATGTGGACATAGCAACTCTAATATCAAATGAAATTCATGCTATTGTCCTTTCTAAGCCTTCTAAGTCGGGTGCTGTCAGGCCCCTAGCTTTCCCTGGACTGATTACAGGTTTGTGCAAAGCTAAAGGTGTGGTGATTCCTCAGCCGTTGGTCCCAATAAGGAGGAAGATAGATCATTTGTTTGTCAATGCTCGTTGCTATAACCAACGAGAGTTTCCTCGGGCATCTCGCAGATCACGCCCACCACCTACCCAATCCCCACCAGCTACCTCACCTCTAGTTCCGCCAACTGGCCCTTTTGATTTTTCTACTATGCAGGATTGTATGGTGCAACAATTTCAGCACATGGAGGCTCATCTTCGCCACGTGCAACTTCAACAAGCCGCGAATCATCGAGGGCAATTGGCTTTACACTCCTATTTTTACAACTACACGTTGCATCAGGCTGATACCGGTGGAAGCTTATATCCTTGGCCTACACCGGAGCAATTTCAAGATGTTATTCTTTGGCCTGGGGACAATCCTGTTTTTCCAGGAGGGAGTGATGCACAGCCACATGAAGCACAGCCACATGAAGCACAACCACATGAAGGCGAGCAGGTGATGGACTCGGAGGGAGAACAAGCTGAGGAGGAAGAAAGAGATGATGGATCACTGTCACCCACCTTTTGAGGAGGAGGAGTTTAATTTTAATTATGCCAGTTTAAATTCAAGTCATTTTAATTTCAGTTATTTAGTTTTCATTTTGTTGGACTATTATGTTGGTTTACTGGTTTTGGTGTTCTTGCTTGAACTTTTGACTGGTTTACTAGTTGGTGTTTTGGTTTGACTGGTTTACTAGTTGGTGTTTTGGTTTGAACTTTTTGTGTTTATGGTTGAACTCTTGATGTCTTTGGGTGAACTAAACTCATACTCTGGGGGTATAATCCTATAATGTTAGGATAGACGTACATACTAAAAAAAATGTAAATACTTATACTTATTTATATAATCTTTTTGGGAAAAATTGAAAATCATTCTTGGGAGGTAGTAAATGAGATGGCTTTTAGATCAACAAAAAGTGAAAACACATCTTTTGATTCACCTTGAAATAGTTTGTTTTGAGACTTGTTCTGAGGTTGTACTCATCCAATTTGCTTGGTCATGAAATTGTGAGTTATTTGATTAGCATGACATGAAAAATCAATAGTTGAACATTTAGCCAAGCTGGTGAGTGAGAGTGACTAAACAGTGCATATATCATATATATTTCCACTTTTGAGAGCCATCATCATAATATATGTGTTTGCATTGGTTGAGTCTTGAATGATTGTCTTGTGAGAAAGTTTTGGACAGGATCAAGGCATTCCCTTGTAAATAACTGAAACCTTTTTGAGCCTAGAGCCAAACAGCCAGCCATAATTGAATTCATCCTTTAAAACCTGTTTGAGCCTTAACCTTCAAATCACCTTAAACCTTTCTCAAATACCAACTCATCACCCTGACCAAACTCTTGAGGGTAAATGAAAATGAATTTGGGATTAAGTTGGGGTAGTTGGTAAGAATTGCCAAGTTGAGAGAAAGTGGTGAAATTATGATTAATGAAAGTTGAAGGGAAGAGCCACCCCTCCATCATTTTTCTCTGTTTAAAATCAAGTGTGCTTGTTAGTCTCATTCTTTGATCTCATAAAAAAAAAATCAAATCAATAGCAAAATAAGCAAGCACCTGTACAAATAGTCTTAAAAGGGGAGGGGCCTCTTGAAATCCAGGCAACAAATTTTGAGGAGAAAGGGTATGTAATTAGAGGAAGATTTTGGGCTGAGAGAATGGGTTGGAGTTGAATATTAAGAGTGAGCAAGGTGAAATGTTTGAGTCATTTTCATTTTACTCTCGAGTTTAAACCTTGTTAATCTGAAAAACCACACTCCTTTGTTAACCAAACCTTAGTGGAACCCTCAAAAAGTCCTTGTGATCCTTAATTTTCTCTCACAGAGTAATACTGAAGAGATGATATCAATGCTTATGTTCATAGAAATGATGAATGGAATTGAGAGAAACACTCACCTTGGAGAGCCATTGTTGAGAGAGTATGTTCAGATATTGGTTTGTAATGTTCATGCTATGATTTGCCTTGCAATTTTTGTGGTTGGGCATGATTGTTGTTGTGGGCACCTTAGTGAGTAGAAATTGGTTGTGATGGTGAATTGATTGAATGTTTACCTATTGTTGATACAGAAGAAATCTCATGGTAGGAAGTAACTTTTTTTGGGTTTTTGTTTGGTATCTTGTTAGGGACCAACAAGAGATTAAGTTGAGGTAGTTGTTGAGTGTCCTTTATAGTATGTTTCACACTCAACTTTTGGAAATCTTTTTGTATAATTGTAGATATTTATATGTTATTTCACCCCTTTATTTATAGAATTAAGTCATACTATAGGAGTAGGGGAGTAGTAGCAATCTTAAGAAATTTTCTCATTTTTTGCAGGATTTTGGCCAGGCAGAGATCCACAGCCATAGCTATGGATCTGGAGCTCGAGCTGTGGAAGTCTGAAAATGATATAGAGGTCCAGAGACTTGCAGCTATAGCTGTGGTTCTGCAGCTATAGCTGTGGAAATCTGGAATGCTCATTTTTGGTTCCAGAGACTTGAAGCTACAGCTGCAGGGTCCAAGACTTGAGCGTTGAGGCTTGGGAAATCAAGGGAAGCCACAGAGACTCACAGCCATAGCTGTGGTTTCACAGCTACAGCTCAGGAAGTTGCTTAATCATGAAGGAGTCTCCACAGTCATGGCTACAGAGCTACAGTTGCAGCGCCAGAAGTTACTTCACCTTGAAGGATTCTCCACAGCCATAGTTGTGGTTCTACAGCTGCAGCGGTGGAGTTAAAAATTTCACTTTTTGCCCAGTTTTAGAGCTGATATAAAAGGGAAAAAGGAGGAGAACCTGGGAATAGAACATACAGAGCACGAATTTAACAGAGAAAAACAGGGGAAAAGCTTGTGAAGAAGGAAGAACGAAGGAAGAACAGAGACTTGGAAGCTGGATCCTTTGGGAACGAAGATCAACTCCATTTCTTCATCCTTTGCTTTGTAATTTCTTCTTTTCACTCTTTGATTCTGTAATGGCCATGGGTGGCTAAACTTCTTAAGGATTGGTTAGATGTAACTACTAACTCCTCTTCTTCTTAAATATATGCATTTTGATCTCATTATTTGTGCATTGATTCTTCTCTTAACGCTTATATCGACTTGATCACCCGTTGTATGATTTTTGGTTTTTGAATCCAGTTGGAAAACGTTTTCGAAAACCCGAACTGAATCTTGCACCTAATCACTTCTTGTTCTAGGAATAGACTTGATTTGGTTAGTCACATTGTTCAAGTCATTGTTCTTAATGCGAAGTATTAAACTCAAAACATAGAGGAATCATGTTTTGAGCTTAATGACTTTAGGATTCAACCTTGAGGAATCTTGTTGGATTATTTAATGAACGTGGAAATAATGAAATTAGAATCGCATTTATTTTAAGAAGATTTACGAGTTAGCAAGTGCTCTGAACCAATCCTTGTTTTTAATCATTGTCTTTACTACTTTCAGTTTATTGTGTGGTTCTACCCTATCTCTACTCATTCGCAATTATAACAACATTCTCTTTAAATCATTTGAGCAAGAATTACTAAACACTCAAATCCCTGAGGACGATATTTGAGTACTACTTCGAAACTTGGTTCACTTGCCAAGTGGTAGGGTTGTGAAAAACCTCATCAGTCTTGAACAACGTGAGATAAGACTGTTCTCTTCCTAGTAGGAGGTAAAAAGGCAAAAGACAAAAAATGTATTTCTCCCTATAAACTGATTAATGAGATATCAGTTTTATATCCTTACCAGTAGAGACTAGAGACCTCTTAATGGACTACTAAATAGTCCAACCCATCACGGACCATTCATTAGAAGCCCAATAAGCATTATCCATAAATTAATAATAATATACAATATAATTAATATTAACATATAAATATAATTTATTAATTAATGTTAATCTATAATAATAATAATAATAAAATAAAGAATAATTATATAAATATAACACTTAGCACAGACAAGGAGAAGGCAAAACTACCGATAATTAAAATACATCAAAATGAAGAGTTATCTATATATAGGAACAATTATTACATGCTAAAATTTTATTAAAAAATTATATTCTACCGTATCATACATCAAAAACTCTGTTTTCTTCTCTAATTGATACACATACTATCATGATTAACTTTTTCAAACGTGTGCCTCCTGCATGCACCACTGAGAATCCACTAAAAATAAGGACAAACCCTTCTTAAAAACAAGATACGGGTTAATTATAATGATAAAAGACAAAGAAAAAATTATACTGGTTTAACATATATCACTGAGGCGACATATAGTAGAATCTAACATAACAACATCATTTTACATTTGCTACCTCTCTTAAACAAATTCAAACCAATTGAAAGATTCCTCTAAGCCAGAAAGATTATAAGACTCGGGATGGGGGTTGTCATTGACAGCATCTGGACTAGTAGGACTGGGAACACCTGCTACATTTAGGATTTCATCATCAACAACCTCATCAATAACATGTTCCTCATTCTCCTTAAACAATGGTGTTTTTGTGTCCATGTCTTGAGCAAATAAGAGGGTCTGTGCTTCAACGATTCCATCCTTTTGTCCGTTCAAGTATACCGCTTTCATCAGATCTTGAAACTCCTCTGAATTCTGGTAGCTTTCAATTTCAATATCATATAGCCTCCCTAATTCTTCAACTTTTCCTTTCAAAACAGTACTCACCTTCTCATACTTTCTCCCACATTTGCAACCATTGTCTGAGTGCATCCTCGTGCCACTAGTACAATCTACCTTCTTTGAAACAAACTCATCAGCTTGACTGTTGAGTTTCTGAATCAATTCATCATTAGCTGCGTCACTATCTTTATTCAAAGCAGTATCTTCACTTTCAAGTTGTACAAACTCTTTGCGCAATGCTTCGTGTTCCTCCTTCAACTTACTCTCACCATCAGATTTCGAACTTTGTTGTTTCATCGTGGTGGATGTTTGCAAGGGAGGGGGAGGTATCACGTTAGTCCAATCCAATTCTGGAACCGAAGGTAGTGACACAATAGACGCTTTAAATCTTTGACTATCCAAGGTATCTAGTGTTGCCCATATGTCCAAATCCGGAAAGGTTAACTTTGCTTCAAGGAGTCCATTCACAATTCCTTCCATGTATGTCTTCAGTTCAAGCGAGGGTGGTGGGTTACGTGGGTACAATCCATCTTTTAATTGTGTGAATGACCATAAAGCCCTATGACCATATATCTTCTTGTTAAAGGCAGCACTTCTAGTTTTATCAATATCCAGAGAAGGAAATTTATTTCGTGCATGAACAAGTGCATCCGTAATTCCTTCATAGAATATTTCCCTCATTATTTCTTCCTGTTGAGGATTGCTGCCTTGTTCCTCCTCACTTCCCTCATGACCAGAGGTTGAAGCTTCTCCCACGTTCATTGGTCCCTTCCCTCTATCCTTTACTCGCTTCAACGCGAGATTCTGATAATGAAAACTTTCGGTCTCGTCGTCTACAAAATATGCTTCAATAATGCCTGCCCTACATAACACGGCAGTTACAATGTCTATGATGCTCAAATCAGGAAAGCTTTTTTTTGCTTCAACGAGTCCACCGACAATTCCATCAGAGTATATCCTTGTTTCAACCGTGGGTAACACCTGCACTACATCCTCACCCAATACTGATTTACTCCAACTAGCCATCTTGTCTAAGGCAACATTTTTTGTTTCAATAATATCTAGAGAAGGAAAGCTATTCTGAGCTTCATAAAGTCCATCCATAATTCCATCATGATAGATGTACCTCGTTAATGGTTGCTGCCCATAATCCATATTCAAATGTTGGATCAGATGCAACCGTGGTTGACCAAATCTGTCAACAAGGAGGCCTTTCATGCCTACTTTATGTAACAACGGACTTATTGTTTCTGACACGTCCAAATTAGGAAATCTCAACTTTGCTTCCAAGAGTCCACTGATAACTCCTCCAATGTATAACTTCACAACCTCGGGTAGCTCTTCGGAAATCCATCGAACCTTGGTACCTTTTATTAAGGCAACACTTCTTGTTTTGACAACATTTATGGAAGGACAGTTCTTTTGTGCTTCAACAAGTCCATCCCTTACTCCATCAGAGAATATTTTCCTCCTTTTTTCTTTCTGCTGCTGAACATCGTTTTTATCCTCAAGAACGCTAGGGGCTGAAGCATAGTATTCTTGTAGGAAAATTGTCATCAAGAAGGAATCTATGTCTTCTGAATCTGAATCTGAGCCTTCGGATTCTAATTCATCCTTACCCTCCTCTTTAATTAAAGAGTCCATGTTTTCAAGCTTGGTCGATTCAAACACTTTGTCGGTGCGAAAATTCTCTACCACCTTCTTAGGATCCTGATCTTCTTCTGTAGGAACTACTTTTGGTGGCATGTCCAAATACTTGGGATCAGGACATATGAATTGGACATGTTCCATGTTGGCTCCTTCTTCATACACATAAACTCCCCACCGACTCAGTGTCAATGAGGGAGAGGCTTCGTATGAAACCTGCACCACATTCCACTCATGCTCGAGAAATGCATCAAGGCTAAGCCATTCCTCGTCACTGAATAAAAGTCGTAGATCACAAATTAAGACATGATCTGGTGCAATTTTGAACTTGTGGTTTTTACGAGAAACACGTTGACCATTGATAACTAGTTGGAGCTGAAGAACTTGATGGCGACCTTGTTTCCCCGATCCTGTCACATCCTGGAAAACCAATGCTAAAGCAAAAGTAGGGAACTTGCAACGAACCCAGAAACGAGGATTCTCTCCATTGCCAATGAAATCAAACCATTCTGGAATCTCGGTTTGAGGCATCACTATTTCTAATTCACGCATCCCTTTTGCTGCCTATCATGTTGCAAAAATTAACAAAGTATAATTAAAACAACACACCTTGTCCGAAAAAGTTTAGGATTAATCTCTGTTATATATGAATAGTTGCTTGCTTTTTTGCATGTTTTATAGTGTGCAGGCCATGTGTACAGTGTACGGGGGTAATAACCTATCATTCTTTAAGCTTGCCTTACATTATAAAACTAAAAGATGAAACCAGGAACAAAACTTTTATATATATACTTTCAGTTTTATGGAAAATAGGATAGTATAAATCAATTTTACATCGCTACTGTATCACAAATTAACTTGTATAATAAATTTATTAATTTTCATAATATAAATATTTTTCAAGTTATATTAATGATAACTTTTATCAATTAATTATATAAATTTTTTATACCGATAATATATAACTATTAAACTCTTTAATTTTTATAATATAATAATATTTATTAAATAGTTTACTGAAATTCATACACGAGTCATTAAATAATTACATAAGACTATAAGCATTGATGGAGTTGATTCATTTAGTAAGTAGAAATAAATTGTATTTAATATTAACAAAAATGTCTTAAAAAAGTGTATTTCATTTTCATTATCCAAGAGTATTTTTGGGGACAAAAGTTTCACATACATCAAATAACATTACTAAAAAAGTGTCATTTTCCTTCAAATTTTCCTTAAAAAAAATATTCGCATAAACTTTTTGCAAATTTTCGTGCAATAATAATTTTACCAAATTTTTTTATGAATTTATTATGAAAAATAATCTACAAGAAATTTTTACAAATTTTGCTACAATTTTAATGATCATAAAAAAAATTTCATAGTAAAGATTTGCAAAAAATATTGTAATAATTTTATTTTGTTTCTTGCAGATTTTCTTACAAAAATAAATTCACAAGTAATGTTTACTAAATGATAGAAAAAATTTTGCAGGTAATTTTTTCTACGGATTTTTCTGCCAATTTTAATCCGCAGAAAAAATAAAAAAAAATATTTAAATTTATATGTTTAATATTTTAAAAAAATTTCAAGTCCAACATCGATTAAAAATAAAATAATTAAAGAGTATATAAGTTAAGGCAACACTTACCTTACAAGTTAATTTGTATGGTTGAGTGTTAGACTTATAATCTACAATCTTAGAGTTTAAAAAATTATGTATCACATGTTGGAGGCGTGAAAATAAATGTTTCGGATGAATTCATTGTGAGCATTTGAAATTTGAAGAATTATTTATAGAATTTGTAGTAATTTCTTTAATTTTTTCATAAAAAATATTCTTGCAAAATTTCTTGCGAAAAAATTCGCAGGAAACTTTCTAGCGAATTTTTTTTGCAAGAAATTTTCCTGCGAATTTTTTTCGCAAGAAAATTCACAGGAAAATTTCTTGCAAATTTTAAAATTTAAAAAAACATATTATCTACGAAAGTATTACTTACAGATAAAATTTCGCAGAAAAATTTGTAGGAACAACGTTTTCTGCGAATTTTTATGAAAAATTCATAGGAAAAGTCGGATGTAATAATAGAAATTATAGTAGTATAAGTCTTTTGGTATATTATCACTATTTCTTTCAATAAACAAACAAATAAAAAGAGTAACTTATATGAAACATTTTATAAAAGTAAATTATTTTATACATCATTTTTATAAGAGATTTTTTTCCTCTATTTTATGCGTCTATTGTCACTTTTATATAACTACATTTTATAGAATTTATGTATATTCTTAGCATGGTTAACAAAAACTAAATAAAGGTATTTCAAAAAACAAATATTTGAACAGGAGGCGTAATTTTGTAAAAGTAATAGTAAACACTCCTAACGTATTAGCCTCATTTCTTTTTCTTTTTTTCTTAGGAGAAATATTAGTGGACATTAAGTGCATGTTTGGGAAGGAGGTTTTCCAATAATTTCAGCTGTTTTGAAAGGGGAAAAAAATAGTTTTTAGAAAGAAAAAAAAGCTTAATTTTTTGAAAAATTGATTAAACTCGTAAACAGTTTTTTTTATATAAAATGTTGTTTTAATAAATATAAAAATTTGAATTTTATGATTATTTTTCAACAATTTTTTCTCTGAAACTGATTTACAACATAAAAGCTTTTTTCTTATCCAAATAAAATTAAATATTTCAAAATCGATTTTTAGCCTATCTACTAAAAAAAATCATTCTAATTATAATTAATTATAACAATAATCAATTATATATATAATCAATTATTATAATAATTTAAATTTTACAACTTCTCTAAACACACTATAATCTCTCTTAATTCTTATAAGAGTTAATCACATATACATTGTCAGTGTAAAGTTTTTTTACACTAGTAACCAATCATATTTTTAATAGTGTCATATTATTTACTTATTTAATAAAATAAAAGTAAAATAAAATAATTTAAAAAATATGATTGATTGTCAGTGTAAAAAACTTTCCACTAACAATATATGAATGATTAACTCTTCTTATAAACAGAAAAAGAAATGAGAGAGAAATATATGTACATATAATAATTAACTTAATAAGTAATGTGATGTGATAGATGTACATATAATAACTTAATAACTTAGCTGGTAGGCCCACTATATGTCCATCATTTTAATCAATTTTTATATGACTTGTACTCAATTTTTTTTTTATTTATGAGGAATAATTATTAACACTTGATTATATTTCATGTGGAGGTGAATGGGATCATGATAGTCTTAATCATCTAATAATTTCTCATTAATGAAGTATATAAGTGAAATTGTCCGCATTATATCATTCTTTAAAAAAAAATGAAAGAAATATGAATTTCAATTCATTCTCTTTCCTAACTATTTATTTCTTGTCTATATCCTAAAAGAAATATAAAAGAAATAGTGTGTAAATATCATTTTCCTAAATGTTAAGGTCTAAAGATTTAGTAATAAAGTGATGATACCTGAAACCATAACATGTCTGATGTATATGTGGTTAAGGAGGTATGTCTTGCATCTACTTTCTGAATAAATGGGAACTCTAAAATTTCCTGAAGATTCAAAAAATGATTAACATTAAGAATTATCAAGTTAGAGCATTATTGAAGAATATGTTGAAGCATCATGCAGAAGATCACATTGAGACTAGCTTGTTAAGTGGACACACTCCTTAGTACATGTAGGGAGAGGTAATCTTGTTTTTGAAGCAAATAATTGTTCTAATTCCGGGGGAAAAATGAGAATTATGAGAAGATCCCTATCAAACAAAGTAACATTTTTGAAATATAGTGTTTAAAAGATTGACAAACAATAGTTGTTGAAGGGATCCGAAGAAAACTTTTGAAGGATTCTAGGAGTTAAGAACATCCTCCAATTTTAAAGACAACAACATTTGGTAAAATGAATAAGTTGCTTGGTAGATATTAATTTTTCTAATACTTCATATCTCTATACTAACAAGTCCGGTGAATTTAATGGATTTTGCCAACACCTTAATAATAGTATTTATCATATAAATCTTCAATATGATTTATTTATTTCTTTCATTATCTTTGGGAAGTGTTCATGCCTTCCACGTTAATTAAGGTTAAGGACTTCTAGAGATGGTAGAAATATTTTTGGCGAGAAGTTTTCATGTTTAGTACATTTTGAAATGCTTAAGCAAGCAAGTCTAATCCAATAGAATCATGAACTGTAATTAGATGCTTACAATGATCAAGTCTCAATTCTTTTAAATTTTGAACTTCAGACATACCAAACATTTCAATAATAAATTATTTATATGAAAAATTCATATAAATAATTTATATTTTATATTTTATATTTGGGGTAAATTAATTTGGTCATTGAACATTTTCAATCTTGGAACAAAATTTTAATTTTTATTGATTAGATTTACATATATGAAAATTATGGAACTTAATTGATTTTCAAATGGCTATAAATATAAAGAAAATTGCATAAAAAATAAATTTTACAAACAACTAAAAAGAATATGATATTATTTTTTTTTTCTCATTTCCCAATTTCTTGTTAAATTCATTTTCATACAATTTTTATCATATGTATAACTTCATGGTTCAAACATCAATTGACTTAAATAGTTTCTATGAAAGTTAATCTAATGAGACAAATTTTATGTTTTGAATCAATAAAAAAAATAATTCAAAATTATGTCATAAAATTAAAAATTATTATTATTTTTGAAAGAAACAAAATGACTCAAATTTAGAAAGATAAAAGAATAAAATAAATATTATGAAAGATAAATGATTAGAATGAATTTTAAAAATAAGATAAAAGATCAAAAATATAATTTAGTAAAAAAAAGTAAAGAAGAATGAAAACATGTTATAGAATTGTACCTTAAATGGTTCTTCCAATGTTAAATGGCTTCTAGGTAAATTGAAGATAATGATTTTCTTTGGATGAAATTTTGATGGAAAAGACTCTGAAGGATATTCTTCCCATTCAAGCACCCTCAAATGATTTGGCAGATGTTTAGGCTCACATGAAAATAATGTGTTTCGAATAATGAGAATTCTAAGCCATTTCATTTCCTCAAAGGCAATACCAGTCCAATTTACTACTTCTTGTTGGGGAGGATCAAGCATTATCCCTTGAATATTGTCACTTCCCTTTAAAACAAGTACAAACAAGTAACATCAATTGCATGATGTCATTAACAATAGAAAGGAAAATTTGAAAAACAAAACATAGATGATTCTTACATTATCTTCGGTTAATACTTCGATAACATCTTCATAATGCCATAATCTGCTACGTTTCCCAAGTTTTGATGTCTCTTGCCTAACAATTTCTCTACCCATATCTTGTATTAAATCATGCATCATCAAGCAACCATTCTCGATAGTTAGGAGAGATTTATTAACAAGTACATTAATGTTTGATGCACCAAATTCCTCAAGTATCTTTTTAACATATTCTACTCTCTCCCCTTTGAAGAAGCAAGCTATGTCTAGGAAAACCCGTTTGGCATTGTCACCCAATCTATCATAGTTTATTTTGAGCATATCTAGAATCCTTTTACTTGGAGGGTTCCTTTTATATTCTTCTAATGCATCTTCCCAAGCAACTAAACTTTCTTCATGAAGATTAGCCAAATCAGAGCCTATTACTTTTAAAGCCAATGGAAGACACTTGGCAAAACCAACTGCACGCAAAGACACATTATCAAAGCCTATTTTAGGATGGCTTAGTTTGAAGGCATTCCGGCAAAAGAGCGTAAGAGAATGTTGTTCATCAAGCTCTTTCATTTCATAAATCTTCTCAACTTTGTGAGCAATTAGCACATCTTTATCCCTCGTTGTTATAATGATCCTACTACCTGAACCAAACCAATCACATCCTCCTGCCAGCTTTTCTAATCTATCTTTGTCATCAACATCATCAAGAACTAAAAGAACTTTCTTTTGATGAAGCTTGCGTTTTATTTGATACATTCCTTTACTTGTACTACCCAACTCAGTTTCTAACTCCTCTAACATCTCTGATAAAAGTGTCTTCTGTAGGTCTTCCAAGCCATTGATTTTGTTTGATTTCTCTCTAACATCGGCAAGAAAACATGCAGCATCAAAATCTCCCACAATCTTGTCATACAAAGCTTTGGCAAGTTCTGTTTTTCCTATTCCCCCAAGTCCGTATATGCCCAACATGCATACAGTTTTATCACCAGGCTTCATCTCTAATAATGACTTTACCTCTTCTATGCGTGGTTCAAGTCCAACAGGGTTCTGCCCGGTATTTAAATGTTTAGGAGCTATATTTTTGTAGACCTTATCTACAAGCTCTTCAATCAAAATGATTTCAGACTTGAGGCTTCTGCAGAAACACAATACTTTTTTTTTTATATTATTATTTATATGAATTATAATGACGCTAATGTTGACTGAGTCAGAAGATTTTTAGTTTAAGAAATCTATTAGCCGTGGAAAAAGGCGAATAAGATCCTGAGGGAGGATAACAAGGCTCTTAGCGCAGCCCTTGATGAGGCGAAGCGGCGGGAGGCCGAGCTTCGGACTGCGCGTAGTGACCTTGCGCGGGTGCGGAAGTCTCTTGAGATTGCGTTGCAATCTAATGAGACTTATGCTTCTCAGGTGGGGGAGCTGCAGGAGCTCGCCTCTTTCTCCCGGGCGCGGGCCCGCTCTCTGGAGGATGAGGTGACGTCCTCCCGTGACCAGGTGCGGACCCTAGAGGATGTTGTGACCTCACTCAAGGGGGAGTTGGCGGCGGCGGC